GAGATTGTGCTTACCTGTGCTTGGAAGTTTACAAGTACTGTATGGAGAGCCCCAAAAATTGAAATAAGTGTATCAAAAGGCCTTGCAGTTGGCAGGCAATACAGCAGTTTTGTTTTGGTCTTGAGACAAGTTTGAATTCAGTCAGTTAATTTAAACCAAGCACCTAGATACAGAAAACCAATTGAATTTAGAATATGATTGGTTTCAGGTTGTCAAACCAATCGGTTTTAAGATATTGATGTGTCATCGTGGAGTATATAAGACAAGGGTTTTTGAAAATCGGGGTGAACACCTGCTTTCGTCTTGAGGGGAAATCAAGCCCACCATCTGAGAAATTAACCCTGAGTGCCCTCAAGGAGTCACTAAGTTCTCCAAGAAAGCACCATCTATCCAAAAAAGGTACCAAAGCATTTTAACTCCAAGTCCTCACTGAAGAAATCAGAGAAAAACATCCCTAACAGCAGAATCAGTGGAAGAAAGGCATTTGTGGTGTAACAGAGAAGGCAGAACATTCCAGAAGACACAGTCTGTGCGAATTTGGAGAGATTAAGTTTTAATTTTTTTTGTTTTAATTGGGTTTATATAAGTGGGATGTTGTGTTTATTTGAACTGCATTCCAGTAGATTTTAGGCCAGTTAGGGATAATTAGTAGTCCAGGGGGGAATTGTTTGGTTCGCTAGTAAGTCTATTAATTTGTTCACTCAAGGTTAAATAAATAAATTGTTACATATAAAGTGGATATCAGGGATTTTCTTTCATTTAACCACTCCTTTAACAGATTATAAAGGTGAGATGAGCTTCTCTGGGTGTTTCGGGTTTAATTATTAGCTATTATTATTAACTGTTACCTGCCATAACAGTTGGGGCTTGTGTTTGGGTTTATCTATCAGAGGGGTTTGACTTTCCACTTCTCTGTAACAGAGAAGCAGACAGACTGAGAAATTGAATGAAATATTGAGTTGTTGTGGCCTGGAATGTGCTGTCTGAAAGGGAAGTAAAAACAGATTTAATAGTGAACTTTTTCGAAGCGGGGCATAATGGACAATGCATAAGGAAAAGAGGGAGAGAGCAGAGGAGTTGTTTCAAGAATGGCCTTCTTCCGACTTGGACTATTATATGAAACCTGATGCTTGCAAAGCCTGTTTTTTTTTTTGTTTTATTCAGCGTCTACACAGCATATTGCTAATCAAGGTCATGTCAGTAATAATGACTGGATGTGAGGGAATTGTATGTGCTGAATGTCATTTCAATTTAGGTTCTGTTAGTACTAGTCTACTTAACATGATACATTTCCAATGCTGGTGGATATGGATATTTTGACTGAGGTCAGTTTTCTATTTCTCACTATCACCAATATTAAGTTTGCTGTTTTCATATTTTTGCAATCTTCCCTTTTTGGTGATAGTGGTTAATAGAGGAATTTGCAAGCTAATATGATGGGTAAGTAATATAAGTTCCTACATACGATACAGTATGATAGGAGTTAGTGAAACGTATACAGCAGGAAGTGAATTCTAAACTCCCGAACCCAAGATTCCTGGATGTCAACTCTGAATTCTGAGTGGGACATTTGTCAGCATTTGGTGGAACTGTTTGGAGTCTGTAGCAGAAATGCTCCCACTGAACATAAATTTCACTCCATTTCAACTGGTGTTGCACAATCCAGAAACCAGTCATCAACCAAAAGTTCACAGGGCCTGAAGAAATACTTGAATTTTAGCTTGTTTTATATTTAGTATGTCACTATGAAGACACAGGGTCCCACACTTTAAAATTAAATATATTTTTTAATGAGATTTAAGTGTTGTTGGCAAGACCAGTCTTTATTATCCATCTCTAATTATCTTTACAATGTGTGATGTCCTTAAGTTGCTTGTAGCCCAGATGGTGAAGGTACACCCATAGTACCTTTGGTGAGGGAGTTTCAGAATTATAATTTTGTGATGAAGGAATGGTGATATAGGTGATTTATCTCCCAAAGGTGGTGGTATTTCCATGCACCTGTTGCATTCTGTGCTTGGTGGTGGTAGAGTGCGTAGGCTTGGAGGGCAGCAAAATCCTTGGTGACACTGCTAGTGAATCATGTTGCACTTTGAACCCTTCTGATGTATTCTACTTGTGCAAGATCCTCATTCTCTCTCTCTGGAGCCTTAAATTCCTTCTGGAAGAATGGACATTCAAAGATACAATTTGCTGCTACCTACATTCAAAGATACCAAGTTGGGTTCTGTTGAACTTTGGCTGGTTTGAAAACATTGACAAGACCACAATGAGTGAATGTTTACTGTGTATCATACTGCAAAACTGTTGCTGATCATACTTTAAGCAATGTTTGCTACCAACACCTTGTCCTGTCAGTTCTGTCATTTTTTTTTCACGTCTTTAGAGATGCAGTATAGCTAGTGACAGAGCATAGGTAACTACTTCTATTGTGCATCCACATGTAGTCACTCAGTTCTTTCTGCCCATGGGTAACTTGAGGTGGTTGTGTGAATTAGTGATTGCCCTTTTGAATAATTTGGAATAACAATGATCAGATCTGGACAGGTCGAACAGATTGGGGCTGTCCTGTCGAAAAGAGATCTATGAGGCAGTGACAGACTGGAACTCTCTCTTAGCATTATGTCTTTCCCATTGCAAGGTTTAAACCATAGACATGTTTCCACTCAGGATATTGAAACTTGGAACCATAAATGTATGATAGTTATAAATCCATGAGATACAAAATTTTCACATTTAGACAATATGGAACTTGCTACTAGTTGAAACAAATTGGATAATGCATTAAAAGGGAAGCTGGAAAAGATTGTGGGGATAAAACTAGAATGGTATATCAATAGGTGTGGGGGCAGCATTCATGTAACACAGTTGGGACAAATGGTCTCTTCTGTTTATTAATGCTATTTATTGCTTGCTCTCTCATCTTTCCACCATTTTATGCAATTAAAGTTTCTTGCTGTGGACTTAGCCATTAGTAATGTTGACTGACCTTGGGTGTTTTTTTTTGTTGCTGGGGTGTTAAGATCCACATGGTTCTGATGTGACCCCACCACTGGGTGACCATGCAATACAGCCTGAGTTCTAACAAACAAGGCCCGAAGGTTGAAGGTTGTTCTCAAGACACACTCCATGCGGTGATAGTATAATCAGGAACTGGATGATTACAGACCTTGGCAACTTAGTTGTTCTACCCAAGAACATTTGGCTTTGACGAGCCAAATGTTAGCAGCCAATTTGGAGCCAATTGGAATAGAGCCATATCAAATTACTGAAAGTGAAGGTGCCAACAGAAAGCATCAGGGGATACTTGACTACTTAGGTTCAGGTTTTACATAACACTTGTATTTGTGTCTTTCACACGATAGAATTATATGGTATAGAAGGAAAGTATTCAGCTCCGTATGCTCGCGCTCTCTATCTAAAAGAGCTATCCAATTCATCCCATTTCTCTGCTCTTTTCTGACAAAGGAAAAAGAAACATTAGGTTAAGTATATCTTTTTGAAACTGATGCTTAAATTTGCTTCTCTTACACTTGCAGACATTGCACTGCAGGTCACGATAACCCTCCATTTTTACCAAATATCTTTTAAAATGGCTGTTTTGTGGTTGCTGCCTCTCTTTTCTTTCTCACCCCCCCCACCCCCCCTTTTTTTTTTTTTTTTTGCATTCTGCGCACCCTCCCATGGATTAGTTGGGTTGCAATGGTCGATAATGCTGGATATCCCAATAATGTCTCTGGGCATTCACTGAATTGCACTGTGTTCATGCCGTACTTCAATCAAATTACCACCTTTTGTTTGTCCAGTGGAAATTTCAAATAATTAATCTTGACTATCAAAGTTTATCAGGGATAGTGATCATTTCGGATGGTAACTAATTTAGGAAGATGGAAGGTTTTGCCTAGTGCTGCATCTGGGAATAAAGCAGGATAGAAAATAACCATCACGAAAAGCATTTGTCACCATGGATTAAGTACTATATTTGTGGCTATATTGATTTATGACTAAAGCACTTAATGTTCTACAGTGCAGCACATGATTAAACAATAACCAGGGTTTAGGAAGAATTCTGCAAGGGGAATTAAAATTATAGCACAGTTTTGGGACTTTGATTTAAAGTGATACCTTAAACAACTATATAAAAATTTTGTCATTTTCTAGGAAAGGCTGCAGTTCATGCTTAGTGTTAACCTTTTTTTTTCATTCATTCATGGGATGTAGGCATTGCTAGCTAGGCTATCCCTGATTGTCTAGGAGGCAGTTCAGAGTCAACCACACAGCTGTAGGTGTGGACTCACATGTAGGTCAGACCAGGTAAGGGGAAAAGATTTCCTTTCCCAAAGGACTTTAGGGATTATGGAGAGTGAGGGGGTGGTGGGATGAGGCAATGTAGAGACTTGTAAATGAGGAGGAGAATTCTGACATGGAAGTATTGCTGGACCAGCAATACGTTGTTCAGCAGGGGTGATGGGCGATTGGGACTTGTTTCAAGTTGAGATATGGGGCAGCAGAGTTTGCTTAATGTAACCAGTCCTGGGTGTATCACAGATGGGCTAATGCAATACCATCATTTGGGCAGCAGAGGAGAAACTAAGAAGGATGGTCAAATAGATTTTTGAGGCAGTGGGGGAAAGATGATAAAAAGAGAAATAGTTTACTTTTTAGGATGCCTCTCTATGACTGTTTTGCCTTTGAGGGTGTGATTGAGGTCACGGAGCAATTTGTGGAATGTGGTATTGAGTTGTATAAGAACCCCGAGTCACTGGAGTGGACGGTTTTGAAGGACGGGCGAGTGGTACTAAAATGGATGGGATGTGATCATGAAAGAACTTGGAGACCGAGATCTAAATCTATTTGTCTTAGGGATTGGGGTGTTTGGATTGGCTAAGTGAGGTATGGGGGTGGTGAGAGAGAATTGGGACTTGCTGGAGAGTGGAACTTGCTTTTCATGTCAAAATAGAAGCGAGTTTTAAAAATATGTTGACTTTTTGTTCCTGCAGGTAACTGAACACCTCTACGCTAAGCCGTGTAACCAACAGCCATAGGCAGCCTCATGAGTTGGTTCAGCGTACAGCAGAGTGGTGGATTTGATTAAAAATGGGATTAATAAAGCTTCAGAACCCCAGCCATCCCTCGGCACTCCTTCACAAAGCCAACCAGATGCGACTTTTGGGGACTCTGTGTGATGTGGTGATCCTGGTGGACAGTCAGGAATTTCATGCCCATCGGACTGTGTTAGCTTGCACGAGCAAGATGTTTGAAATTTTGTTTCTTCGCAACAGTCAGCATTACACCTTGGACTTCCTTTCACCAAAGACTTTCCAACAGATTCTCGAGTATGCTTACACTGCCACGCTCCAGGCGAAAGTTGAAGACTTGGATGATCTACTGTACGCAGCTGAGATCCTGGAGATTGAGTATCTGGAAGAACAGTGTCTGAAGATTCTAGAGACCATCCAGGCAACAGATGATAACGATGCAGAAATGACAGTCACTGAAGATGAGGATGGAGGGAAGGCCAAGTTTAACAAGAATATTTTGGTGACAAAACAACTTTCTGGTGAAGAGGTTGGTTTTACGATTAACCAGGCTATACCAGTCAGGACGATGGAAGAACAAAGTCCTTCTGTCTCCACATCATTTGGGCTTTCAGCAATGAGCCCCACCAAAGCTGCTGTAGATAGTCTCATGAGCATTGGACAGTCAATTATTCAAGGGTCTTTACAACAAACCTCTGCAGACGAAGCATTCGCTGCTGCGGATAGGCATCCCATGGTAACTGAAGTCAAGCATGAAATGATGCAGGTAGAGGAGGGCTCCAGTCCCAAGACTGGTGAGTCTGGCTCTTCAGGGAGTGAAAAGATATCTGACGCGGATAGGTACAAGGAAGCCCCTGGCACACCAACACGTAGCAGTGTCATCACCAGTGCCCGTGAGCTGCACTACGTTCGTGAGGAGAACTCTGGAGAGCAAGCTCACGAGGCAGGGCTGGGTGTACAAGGAAGCTTAGAGAGCAACCCCAATATGCAGGCTGAGAAACACAGCACATTGTACCCTGTCCAATTCAACCGCAGAACTGACGGCCTGTTGGAGGTGCCTACTTCCTTATCCTCCGCTCTCCATGTGCAGCCTACACTCTCTGTTGCTATGGACTTTACTGGTTATGGGGGGCTTCTGCCTCAAGGTCTCATTCAGAGGGAACTTTTCAACAAATTGGGCGAGCTTGCAGCGGGCATGAAGTCTGAGAATAGATCCGCCAGTGAGAGGTGTAATGTTTGTGGAATGGAGCTATCAGACAATGAAGCCATTGAGCAACACAGGTAAAGACATCGCGACCACTTGTGGCATTCCTTGAAGGATTCTAATGCACCCAGTCCCTGTTCTGGTTATTCAGTGCTGACAAAGGGAACTGATTAAAAAGGTTAGGAGCAGGGTGCTATGAGAGAAATCTGAAGGATTTTTATAGTCATAGGATGTTAAGAGGCTTTTTTTCTTTTACTTTGAAACCAAGGCCTGTCCCTCCCCCCCCCTCAATCTTGTTCCTGTATCTTTCTCCACGAGCTGTCATTTCAGATCCCTGGTCTCTGGCTCACTGTCCAAGCCCTTTTTAAGTTTCCTGTTTTACAAGCAGCTGTCTAATTCCCTTTTAAATAATTTATGAACTCCACTACATGTTTTATAGCACACCGCTGTCTGCTCTAACCAGCTTCTGTGCAAGAATAATTCTTTTATCTGACCTCCTCATTTGTCTCCGCAATAGTTTCCAACCAGCAACAGTGTAGACAGACAAACTTCTTTTTAAAATGTAACTAAAACTGAGCAGTGTTTTCTTTTTAGTGGGAGGCACTTACATGGGTCAGGCATTGAAGGCTTAAGGGGCTGAATGGTCTACTATTCCTATGATCTCATTAGTGTTTAGCTTGGAGTTTGTAAAAGATTAAATTCAATATGGATGAATGTAAAGTACAGTGGTACAAGATGGAAAATGAAACCACATATATACTCCATGAATGCCATTGGAATTATTAAAGATTGAGTAGAAGGAGTGTTCCTAGGTTCAAGAACTGTTGGGTCCAACCAAGGTAGCATAGCATAGAAATTGAATGGGCATCCAAATAGATGGACTGGTATGGTCTTCCTCGTCCATTGTTGTCATCCATGAGATCTGTTTCTGCCAGTGGTGTTCCTTGGGATGAGTGAGTGTAATGCAGACTGTCAGCCATTGCTTTATCCTGAAACCAAGTCGCCCTACAACTTGTCCTGAATAGTATCTTGTGGGATCCAGGAGTGCAATATGAAAATCTGGTTATTGGATTGATTCCACTATTGAAGGAAGATTTAGTGAGTACAAATTGTCTGTACTCTGAAGGATGCAGGTTGTACAAGTGGACAGCAGAATGTTGCGTCACTCTTTAAAGTTCTGCAGATCTTGGGATGTGTGCATTTTATCTGGAAGCAATGGCCTTCTCCTCATCACACATTGATGAAATTTCTCTCTGTGAGGCAATAATAGGGCAATGTTCCCACAAGGACTTCAGCTCTGTTGGAGTATACCATCTGGAGTACAGCACAGATGGGTACAGGTCTGTCCCAGTAAAACATGGGTACTGTCTGAACGGAGGCGCAGTGTTGATGGGTACGGATCTATAGCTGTAAAACACTGGGGCACATTCATGATGTGAGCAGGAATGTCACTCAAACAGGAACCAAATTAGTCTGGTTTTCTCTGAACTAATGGTCAAGATTTGGATTTTTCTGGAACAGGTTGTTGATTTAATGGTTCCAGAGGGCTATTACTGAAGGAGGGAGGAGAGTTTTGGGGCAGGCATTCACCCCATTTCAAAGATGTCCTTGTACTTCTTGCAATGCACCCCTTCCACCATCAACCACGTTTGCCCAGTTGGAGATTTGGAGCCTGTTGATTAAGTCGAATAGAGGCATTGTCTACTTTGCTGGTGGATGTGCTTCGATTTAATATTGAACAATACCAAAAGTTCTTGCTTTGAGACAGCCTAACCTTGGCCAGTGCTCTGTACTGCACTAGTCTGACACTTCTCTGTTAGGAGAGTAGTGAATAGTTTTGAGCTGGAGTCCATTACACTTAATAAGCAGTAGGAATTTTATTCTGCTTCTGCTGACAACTGACAATGTAATGTTGACCATGAAGTGGCCCGCAGCATTAATATTGAGCACCACAGACCGAAGAGTTTGAATGGCCTCCTCCTGTGCTGCCCCACTCTGATTTGACCATGTTCGTATCCGAGCAGTGGCACGGAGACTTTGCGCCTGGAGTAAAAGACGTTTATGTATAACCCAACAAAGTTGACCTTCAATAAAAGCAATAAAAATCTGAAATACAAACAGTGCTGGAGAAGCTCATCAGATTTATTTGACAGCAACTGTGCAGAGAGAGAAAAAGCTAACCTTTCAAGTCTAATTTGACTCTTGAAAACTTCCTCAGGAGGTCAGCTCTAGGTGTTTTCACTCCTCTTCACCTGTTACCTGGCTAGGAATGTAGTGTGAAATGTGCAGCACGGACAGGCAACAAGTTTACAACACTGGGCTGCCTCTTCCCAGGGCAAATCGTTTCAAAACACCAGAGAGGAGGATGCGGGTTTCCAGCCTTCCCCAAACGATGTAGCTCTTCTTTACGCCTCTGCGGAGGTTGCAAGACTTTCCTCTACTGATTAGCGAAGGGCAGCAGGTTCCACTGTTGGAATTGAGAGAAAAAAGGTGTAGATGGGGTAAGCTGGAGAGGGTTGGGGGGTGCGGAAAGGGAGCGAGATCGAGGCATCATTATTTCCCAAACTGATCAAAGAAGCTCTTTCTTTATACAGCTTGTCTGGGGGCTGGTCAGCAAGTAGGGTCAAAGCTAATTTGTAGAAGTCCACTTTCAGGTTGGGTTTGCCTGTCACTGGAACTCTAATATCTGGTAGTTAAGACCTTGCTGAAGGTGCAGATTGCTTCTTGTTCCTGACCCAATGCTTTGGTTTCATTTTACTTTGCTCCTTGTATTGTTGCTAAGGGTGACTGTGTAAGTTAGCCTAATTAACACAGTTCCGAATGAACAATGTTGCATTTTGGAATCCAATTACCAAAGAATGGACCAGAGTTTTAATAAAAAGTGGTGACTCCAATTCATAATAGTCAGGACCACGGTAGGGTAACAGTGCTAGTGCCAACTCCATAGTATCTTGTTTGTTAAATTATACTCATGCGACTGTGTCCATTGCAGATAGTATTTGCTAGGTCTGCTTATACTAGTTCAGAAGTCACAGGACAGCAGGTTATTGTCCAACTGGTTTATTTGAAATCACAAGCTTTTGCAGCAGTGATCCGAAAGATTGTGATTTCAAATAAACCAGTCGGACTATAACCTGGTGTCCTGTAACTTCTGAGTTTGTCCACATCAGTCCAACAACAGCAACTCCATGTACTGGTAATACTAGTCAGTACTTCTCAAGATGATTTGGAACTAGATGTGATCAGCCAGATTGTCATTAACGATAGGGACTGAGTCTTGCGCCTATTCCTGTGAATTTCACTAGGTGCAGTTCTGCCAATGTCCATACCTTCTGAGGATAGCATCTCACTTGGCTGAGTGACTTTGCATATGAGTTATACCATGAGTTTCACACTAATGTGAAAACTAGAACTAATGCATCAGTGGAAAATGTAGCAATTTTAGAAAAGGAAAATCCCCGTTTTCAGAGCAATTGGCATGTGACCTCAAAAGGGGACTCAGAATTTACTGTGTGAAGAACACAGTATGCCCACTTTTTAATTCAACTCTCCATGCTTATCAGGGCTGCACTCCCTGAAGGAACCCTGGGGCTAGATAAAATTGTTGGTAACAGCACAAGTGAATGCACGTTTAAAGCAAGAACCATTTTAAGGCTACTGGGGAAGACACAGGGACGTGGGATTTATTTGAATGGATCTTTCACAAGTGAATATAAAACGGAGTGCCCATCTCCTGTGCTGTAGGATGCTGCGGCTGTTTAATAACTGGCTCGGATACACAAGTCACTAACTGTTGTAAAGCTGCAAATTTAAAATGCATTGGTACTTGCCTGAAGATGCAGCTTTCTGGGAACACTGTCCGCTCCGTTCTGCAGTTGACTTCCGGATGTTGAGCGAGATTCCTTCGAGGAACCCCTTTTAATCCGCTCCCAGCAACCCCCCCAATTTAATCTCTTCTCCCTTCCCGTTACCATTCCCTTCCCTCTGTTTTCATTGCTCGGCTTATTAGTGGCACCTGGTAATGGAGGCTCCTAATCGAAACCAGCATTCTCCTTCGGCCTGGTCGGTAACAGACAGCTTTGTCAGTCCGAACATGCCATGCTAGGAAGTCCCATTAGCTTTATTGCTGGAAGATCCTGAGCTGCTCAGGAAATGAGTGCTGCAGTTAGGCACAGAATCCTGACCTGCTCGTGTAACCCCTGCTCATTGGGAAGACCTCTGTCAACACACTGGGGATTTCTGTTACTCTGGTTCTCGTCTTGAGTCCCGAGGTTAACAAAAAGTCTATAGATTGACATTCCTTTGGAAAGAAATCAGCTTGTGACCTCTGATTTATACTTCGTACAAGAAGCATGAGGTGTTTGTTTTTTTTTAAACGTGATGTATAATTTAAGACTTATGGTAATATAGCCAATTAGATTTTCAAATAGCTTTAAAATTGAACTAGTGCAGAATGTGTGCAGATTTCCCACTGAATTTTTTTTCCAAATATTCTCTTCCCTCCATAACTCACCACCGTCACTACCACACTCCCCTCACCCCCAACCCCCTTATACTACCTTCACCTAGTTCACTACTTCACCTTGCGTTGACACAACCAGGATGCTGATCCATATTGACTTGCCTGTGTCACCTCACATGTACATTAAGGCTGGAATATTTGGTAATGGAGATCAACTCATTCAAAATTTGCTTTTGTGCTTCTAACCAAATAGGCGTTACTTCATAACTCATTGTGTCTGGCGATTAGTTATCTCCTCAAAAACCATGGTTCTTATTGATGTTATCCTTGATTTGTTGAGATCCACAGCACTGTCCACTGAGCCACTGGAAAAGTTCAATTTTTAACATTTTTTTGTCTGTGTTTTCTGTTGAACAGATCGGCTAGACTGTGTGTAGACTGCCTCCCTTTCATGCTCATAGGAAAGGAGAAAATATTAGAAATGTGAAATATAGGGGCTGGAATATATTGAACATTTGGAATTCATTTTCACATTGATGTGATATTATTCATTTTAGGGAAGCTAGATAAAAATGAGGGAAGAAGAAATAAAAGGACATGAGGTGAAATGAGTTG